ATTGTGTTGACCTTGGAAACTAATTGATTTTTAATTTTTATCTAAATATAAGTAAAAACAGGAATATTTATACATGCATACATATACATATATATATTGCTCATGATTGTTACTAGGCGTAGATAATCTTTATGTCCGATCGATTCTTATGATAATGTGATTTGTCTCCTTAAGGTGTAATTAATCTTCACCTAATAATAATAATACGTGGGACCCCGACTAATTATCTTTTTTAAAAATATGTGAAATAAAGCGACCGTTTCGTCCTAATATGGGATTGGTCAGCAGTGCGTATCCACAATCTCACCCCATGGGATATCAAACACAAGAGCGATCTGTCTCGTGCGTGAACGCTTAACCTCTAAGCCCGCATTCAATGATGTTAATGTCTAGCATCGACCAATCCATGAAATTGAACGACACATCCACCATTCTCATCAGTGAGTTATTATCTCACAACAAACCTGGTTGGACTCCACTGGTCACTGCTCCTCACAAAAACTACAGGAAAGAACTCTTGAAGCCAGCCACTAGTGAGTATATGCTGATTACTACCGGAAGGGGTTTTCGTGGAGATTATAGTAGTTTCAATAGTTGAGATCATGAGTCAATTGAAGTTAGACCACCACCATGGAAAACCTGGAAGCATTGCTCGACGTCCGTTTCGTCCTATTGTGGGACTCCCCAGCAGTGCGTACCCACAATCCGACTGCGCGAGATATCGAGCCCAGGACCTATCAGTCTAGCGCGCGAACGCTTGACCTCTAGACCACTAAGCCGGTATCCAACGGTGTTATGTCTAACTTCAACCAATTCACGAAATAGTTTAAACAGCATATATTCTTATGAAATTTTTCGATTACATTTTAAAAATCAATCATAACACTATGATTTCCTCTTCTTAGTAAAGTCAGATTCCAGCATATGATTTTGGCGAGACTAATTTATAGACGAACCTTGAACGAATCTTAAGCGACCTTGAGAAATATTAGCCAATCAACAAACAGTCAGTATAGAGTAAAAATATATGATACATAACTAGAGAAATAAAGTGGATACACTTCTTATACGTGGTTCAAACACTTGTTAAGGTTAGAAAGGGGTTCACAGGTTCTAAAATCGTAATGCATGCAGTAGAGGAAATCATCCATACGGCTACAGAATAGTCGGCCTCTCAGTCATGATAAAGCCTCGACCACATAGCTGCAATATTGTTTATGTGCACTCCGGTTGTTGAGTGCACAAAATGCTACTTGTGCGTAACGACACGATGCACATAATCAAGCCTATGTAGAAGTCTGTACGTTCTCCAAACATACGTATATATTGTAGTACCTGGCTGCAGCTAGTGTTACTGGTGCTTTTATTTTCCAGTTCGTGATAATTGTCATAATTTGCTTTAGTTAGGAATTATATATAGAGTTTTCATCAGGCACTGACACCAACCATAATGCGAAAACTCTGTTTAGCCAAATAGGTGAGTGAATTTTGCGCCAAAATCCGAGATCTATTATCTTATACCTGGTTGATTCGTCCACAAACCATAGTCCCGCCGTTTTATTTGTTATAGCCGCTCAATTATCACATTTTGTACGAAATTCCCTGTGAACTGATCGTACGTTAGCATTAAGCACTGTAGTTAGCGCCGTGACCTTGAAATCTCTAAAATGCCTCTAATTGGCTCGTTCATAAATTAGAGTCTCGCCATGATTTTAAATATATAATGACTTAACTTATTTATCAAGTATCAATTGGTGTACTTCATTTCGAACTATATTCTAAATATGTATAAGTGTTAATCAAACTAGGTGCAATAGGCTTAGAATCTGTTACTTAATGGTTGGATTTCGAACGCACTAACCACTGAACCCACTGGTGTATATTGAATTGACGGGTTTTCTGTTATGTCTTTGATCTTTCTACCCACTTTTGGTGCTGAGGATAACTTGTCCAATCTTCACGCGATAGGCTGACTGGCTTAAACTTGATGCTAGTATGCGTGAGTTCGAAGTGGAATAGAGAGAAGAAAACTATTCTATCACCTGATTGACTGACAAGCATACAAGTAAAAGAAGATAAGTCAACTAGAACACTACTCGATTTATTCTCAATTCCGATACGGTTCCCAATTTCCCGATTTCAGATCAGTGTAAAAAGATACATGAATAAATAGATGATTAACCCACCACAATGTCCGAAACTGGGAATTAGCGTAGAAAATGAAGTACAAACTAATACGTTTAAATTACAGTAGCTTTGGAACAAAAAGGGTTATAGCAGTGAATCATACATCAAACGAAAGCTTATGATCTGTAGAATAGATTAGGGACAAAAATAAATGTCAGTGTTTTACAAGCTTTGAATTAAATGAAATAACGTCCCGAAAAGTAGTTTTCGTAGTTTTTGGTTGAGATCATGAATTAATTGATGTTAGGCCACCGTTGGAAACCTGGAAGCACTGGACGGCCGTTTCGTCCTAGTATGGGACTCCTCAGCAGTGCGCATCCACGATCCCGCACCCCGCGGGATTGGAACCCAGGACCTACTGGTTTCGCGCCTGAGCACTTAACCATTAGACCACTGAGCCGGCATCCGAAGGTGTTAGTGTCAAGGTTTCTCTGTTCACATCAGTATTCAAATAATTTATCTTGTGTATACACGAAATCTGATACAACTGGACACCAAAAGTAGTAAACACCACACAAAATAAAAACATGAAATAGAGGATGGGAAGGTAGTACGATCCAAAATGTAAGTGGACAAGAATACTGCGTAATAGGGTATACAGTTCATTTAAACATACAATGAAGAAAGAATTCATTCATTGAATGGAGTTCCTGTCACTTTTATAAAAAAAACGTAAAAGAAAACCATAGCAAGATCATCATGGGTTTTTGTTTCGAGTCATATCTGATAACTTTCCCATGGAGTCGTGATAAACTTACAGATATCAGTCCTATACAGCTTTCTTTCATATCACTGCATCAATCCTCTTTTCCCACTCAGTCTCAGCGTTGGCAAATAATCCACAACGTCCTCAAATCATACCCAAAGCACCGAAGTCAGTGTTTCAAGATAGTCACACTAACTGAATTATTTTCTCTGTACCCAGATACGTTTCCGAACTTCTATACTACTAGCGTGGTGTTGCCACTAGATAGCGGCAGGGATGATCGAACATAAGGAGTCACCGAACATCAACTCGAAGTGGTTAGGTTTTAAAAGCATGGGGAAAAGCTGATTCCATCAACGTGTTGTAAACTCAACTTTTTACAGCTGAAAGGACATCGTTACGACTATAAAAGTGATCCGGATTGACCATTATGACTCACTATACATAAACTGATTTCATCTACCGTGCCACCATCACCATTCCCAATTACCTCTAGGTATGCGGACTTTTCGACTACTTCCAATGAATCACCAAAAAAATAAGTGCAAGTAGGGATTTTCCCCCAGTCTTACAGAAGCGTTTACACTAGGAAGGCGCAAAGTATATGCCATACCTACAGACACTAATTGCCAAATAACTAGTTGTAGATTGAATCGATTATATATCATCGCACAGTAGGAAAATACTATTGACATATCCATAGTTAAAGTCCTTCCGGGAAACAGATCACCACATACTTCCTTCAGAGCTATTTCAAGAATATCCTCTACGGCAAAGTTAAGGAAGAATGGTGAGATTGGGCAATTCTTGTCTAAATCTACTCTTGAACTGGAATAATGCAGAAAAGCGGTTGCATGTGTTCATTCTGCCTTAGGCATTTATGTACATAGCCATTAAGATGTTAACAAACCCTTCAAGTATACACTTATTCAACAGACAATTCCAGAGAACAGTTTCCAATATCAAGAATTAAAGTAATTATTGACCTGGAATAATTGCAGCAGTGCTCTAATATTTGACAGGCTGTGAAGTTGTGATCAATTCGTCCACAATCTGACCATAAACTAGCCTGCTTCTTGTATATATATATAATATATATATATATAATATATATATATATAAATATATATATATATTTATAATATTATAATATAAAATATATATATATATATATGTTGAGTTCGGAAAAGTCGAGTATTTTTGGGAGAAAATCCTGACCCAATGTTTTACACTACTTATAACCTATTACAAGTAAGCTGTACGAATTAATTAAAATAAATATATTTTCGGTTTACACTAAGTCATGAAGCGTCAGAAATACGATTTCTTACCCATTGAGATATAACAAGAAAATATATTTATTATTAACTTTCTTACTAATGAACAATTTATCCGAATCTAATTAAAATACTTATTTATTGACTGATAATTGAGTTCATGAGTCAATTGAAGCTAGATCACTATGGAAAACCCGGAACCACTGGACGGTCGTTTCGTCACACCGTGGGACTCCTCATCAATGAGCATCAACGATCCCGCCCCGCGAGATTCGAACCTAGGACTTATCGGTCTCTCGCGTGAACAAGACCTATAGACCATTGAGTTGGCCGGTATCCAACAATGATAATGTCTAACTTCAACTAATCCACAAAATTGAGCGACACATCCACCATTGTCTTCAGTGAGTTACTATCTCACAACAGACCAGGTTGGACTCCACTGGTCACTGCTCCTCACAAGAACTACAGGAAATAACTCTCGAAGCCAGCCACTAGTGAGTAGATGTTGAATAATATCAGAAGGGGATTTTGTGGAGATTATAGTAGTTTCAATAGTTGAGATCATGAGTCAATTGAAGCTAGACCACCACCATAGAAAACCTGGAAGTACTGGACAGCCGTTTCGTTCTAGCCTGGGATTCCTCAGCAATGAATATCATTTCAAATAAGAATATAATATTGAAATCATCTATTTATTCAATTAATATAACTACTGTACAATAAGGGGGAAAGAAATTTTCCCAAAGAATAAGATGGATTATATGATTATTATTATTGAGGATATTCTATAGTATTTCCTTTATCTTAATCTCATTCACAATTATTCATCACATTATAAATTGTGACATAAATGATTCTTGTTGTTTTAACCATTCAATAACACGTTGTTTTGATGTTGATAGTTGTATAGGTGATTTCCATTTATCTTTATGTGAAATTCTTTTAATGTGATGTAAATTATTAGATTTCATATGTGATAATATTCTATCTTTTGAATGATTTCTATCACCATCTATAATGTAATAAAGATCTTTCATTAATTGATAGAATAATTAGTTTATTACTAATAAAATAGTAAGTAGTATAAGTTACTTCCCAGTCATTTTATCTTTAGCTTCGCTAATCAATCACCATGGTAACCGTTATTATATTATAAATCCCGAACGACGTTTGGAATCAAAAGCAGCAATGCTTAGTTTAGATGGTGGTTGGACGTAGTCTACAGGAAACCCTGGACCCAGGTTTCGTGCTATTTGGCACTCGTCAGCAAGATGTACCTGTAATCTTGAGGGAACTGGTGCTCCTTGACGGATTCGGACTTGACACGCATGACATTGATCACCACCCAGTGGTCAATCAATTGTGATTACATCTCAACCCTACAGGAGGTCAGTCGCGGCCCGGATAGCTCAGTGGTAACGTCTCTGACTGTGAAGCTGAGTGACACGAGATCGAATCCGCCAGAGGGCACCAGTTCCCTCAAGATTACAGGTACACCTTGCTGAGGAGTGCCGAGAAGCAAGAAACCCGGGTCCAGGGTTTCCTGTTGACTACCTCCAACCACCACCTAATCTCAATATATAGTGCACGCAGTGTCCAGTCACCTAGACTGGTGGCCATATTGCAACATGGTCTATAGCATTCGATCTGCACTAAATAAGGACTTGACACACATGATATTGATCACCACCCAGTGATCAATCAATTGTGGTTATGATTAGTTTATTAGCGGATAGCATGGATAACAAAAAACTCTCCCTGAAGCCCCTCTGGGGCTAATGCCGGTCCTAAGCCCGGATAAAGGATAAGGATTGGGTGTGGGGTTAGCGACCCCATCCTACAGAAAACTAACTCGCCAAAAAAACACTAACCAGAAGAAAATTGTTCAAACCATTTAAACTCTGCCCTGCGAGATAGAAGGTCTTCATTTAGAAGGATTATGACGCCTCATGGTGAAAGCCGAGTTCCTTCGGAAGTTACGAGGCTGATGCACCTTCTGACAACCAGAGCAACTATTTATTTAGGTACATGGAATGCCCATACAATGTAGGAGACCCGGAGAGTCTTCCAAATTGCTACTGAGTGGATAACAAAGCTACAATCACATCGAGTAACTTTGAAACAGAGAGGTGAATATATCCGAGCGACTGAGCGAATATAGAGGCAAATTTATAGTCAAATTGATTAAGGACACAGCAAAGTAAGGCAAATGCTATTAATAGGATTCGAGTACATATATACATGGGGAAGAGAATGATCCATTCAGCGATATTTAAATGATTGACACTTTAGCTAGAGAGATATGTGCGTAGGCTGTCACATATGATCAAGCGTACATGTTTATACAGACATGATCGTACAAAGAAATCTTTGTTTATAATATTTATGCATTAAGGCAATACGCACAATATGCATATATCTCAATAAGAGACTGATCAATTGCAGTCCTAAAGACATTAATGGGAAGATTTAAGTGAATAGATGAATTTTTAGTGTCCGGCTAAAAGTTGTCTGTAAAATAAGTACTCGCATCCTTAATTAATAGCTTTAGATAATTAAGATTTATTGACCATATTCGCAAAGATTATTTGAGACAAATTCTGTACTTTGCATATATTTGATGATTTGCTATACAGCACATTTATAGATTTCTGCACAAGGTTGCTTACTCTCACCCTTTCTCTTTCTCATGTTGACCAACTGGATTATGAAGGGGTCAATATCTGGGGAGAAGCATAGAATACAGTGGACAGATAGGATGCAGCTGGACTACTTAGACTTCGCAGATGATCTTACTCTTCTATCGCACACGCAATGACAAGTGTAGGTGACGACCAGTGTAGCAGCAGCCTCAGTAACAGTAGGTGCCAACATACACAAAGGGAACAGCAAGATTCTCCGATACAACACAATATGCACCAATCAAATCACACTTAATGGAGAAGCTTTGGAGGATGTAAAACCTTTACATACCTAGGAAGCATCACTGATAAGCACGGTGGATCGAACGCAGATATAAAGGCGTGGATAGGCAAAGCAAGAGCAGCATATCTACAATTATAGAATATCTAGAACTCGAAACAACTGTCTGTTAACCAACACCAAAGTTAGAATTTTCAATACAAATGTCAAGACAGTTCTACTGTATGGGGCGGAAACTTGAAGAACTATGGAAGCCATTATCCAAAAAATACAAGTATTTATTAACAACTGTATACGCAAAACACTTCGAATCCGTTGGTCAGACACTATGAACAACAACCTACTGTGGGATAGAACAAACCATATCCCAGTGGAGGAAGAAGCGCTGAAAGTGAATCGAACACACATTGAGAAAAGCATCCAACTGTGTCACAAGGCAAGTCCTCACATGGAATCCTCAGGGCCAAAGAACACATTACGTCGAGAAATGGAAACCGACATGAAAAGAACGAACAAAAGTTGGATGGAACTAGAAAGGAAGACACAGGATAAAGTGGGTTCGAGAATGCTGGTCGGCGGCCTATGCCCCATTGGGGGTAACAGGCATAAGTAAGTAAGTAATCATGTCATAAGTTACATATACTACCTGAGAACTAGTGATATTGCTTTACGGATCAAATCTAGACAAATCAAATTCGGATTTGTGAATGCAATCCATTGTGTCGGATTTGAATGCCTTATTGACTGATACACAGATTAAAAAAGCCATATCTGTAGACTGAGTAGCCACCCTTTTTACTACCAGGACCAAGAAGTGAAAGGACAATATGGATGAATTATATCGTTAAGAGTTGATTAGTTACACATTTTAATAATTTAAGTAAAATTAAAAGGAACATTGACAAGAAATGGGTGCAGACAGATTTAAACCAAAAGGCTACTGACTTTCATAATACAAGAGATCAGAGTTCGGAAGAATGAGTCAGTCAGTCAGTAACAACGTAGAACTTCGTACGTACGTACATCAGTTCGAGTTGCCATACCACATTAACACAGAGATGCAGTTATCGATTCAAATCCCGTAGCGGTAGAGGTAATAAGAGTATAAGCAGTAATCGGGAAGATTAGGGTTTGAAGATGTTATTTAAAGAGTATAATCCAGTGAAATAAATTTGGAAAGAGGAAAAAAGGGACAAGGAGGAATCAGGAGACTAGAATTTGGGAGAACAAAAAGAGTGTATGCACCTGCGCCATTGCAAACGATTTTGAGCCATGTCATTCAGGGTCTCTAACCATCGGTTGCTATCATCTCGCGGTCCCCAACCAGGTAGTCTACACCTACCAACATGACTCAGTCCACTTGTCAGTGACTTCATGGAATTGTGCCATGTTTTGGTCTGGCCGCCTCTAGCTTTCTTCCAACCTACTCCTATACCACTGAACATAGCACGTCGAGGCAGTCGGCCGTTGGGCATACGTAACACTTGTCCAAGCCATCTCAACTGATGAAGTTTCACCACTTCATCAATTGACTTGCCATCCTTACCTAGTACCCGTTTCCTAACAACTGTGTTACTTACTCGATGGTCCCAGGATATACGAGCAATGTTTCGAAGACACCTATGATCGAATACTAGTAACCTACAAATATCCTCTACTCTTACCGGCCATGTTTCACTGCCATAAAGTAGGACGGAACGAACTGCTGCACAGTAAACACGTCCTTTGGTTGATAGACGGATATCTCGCCTACGCCATAAATGACGCAAGTTGACAAAAGCTAGTCGAGCCTTCTGTATCCGTGCTGAGATTTCGTCACACACCAGACTTCCAGGATAAGTGAAGCGGTCGACATGCTCAACTACTTCACTCCCTATCATTAGTTCGGGTGTCGATGCAACCCAAGCGGAAGAATGATTGATTAATTTGATGTCATATCTTGTTATTCCCGTTGTACTCAATCTAGCTAATCCCTTAATTTGATATTCATCGATGTCCAACAGGGATAATAACTATCGTGGTATGTAAATGTTCAGTCACTAAAGTGCTAAATTGATGGGCGAAATATTCCAAATAAAATGAAACGGTTATCTATCTGATTGTTGTTTTATAATGAGAACAATTGTTATAAGTATTTAAGGGAATTAAAGTTACTAAGGGATAAATAGGAATACGATGGTGGTTGGAGGTATCACTCAGCTTCACAGTCAAATACGTTACCACTGGGCTATCCAGGCGATAGCATTCAATCTGCACTAAGAAGGACCTGACACATATGACATTGATCACTACCCAACGATTAATCAATTGTAAATAGGAATACTTCCAAATGACTATTGACAAAACATCATACCAAGTAAGAACGAATATGTAATTGGCTACCAATGTGTTAAAAATAACTATGTCAGTGGTTTATTTGCTTTGAGATGGTTCTTGACAATGCTAAGACACACTTTATAATTAACTAAGAAACGTGAACAAATACCAGGAAGTAAGCAGCTTTTGTTATGGCCTTTTTCTTTTACCATTATCAGTATAGTGACATTTTTTCACACAACCTTAGTATCATTAAAAAAAATTACCTGGGATAGGACTGTTTTTAGTGCTGCTGCTACTACTATTGCTTGTATATAAATTTGACCCATTCAGTGAACCAAATCTTCGCTTTTCCCAAGAAGATACTGATTTTTCCAATGCTATAAATAATAAGATATTTATGAGAGGATATTTCATACTTACAACATAAGGCAGCTTTTACATTATTAAAATCCTAAAAATTCAAACTTTTATTTAAAAACTTGATGTAACTCTTACCATTTTGGAATTTTCATTAAATAATGAACTTTCCATTGTTACTTCCTTCTCATCCTCCTCCTCCTCTTCCTCATTTTCTTCTTCCTTTTCTGTATCACTACATGTACCGACAATAGTAGTATTTGTAAAAGATCCTTTAGTAGAAATTAACTCAAATATATTCGAAGTCAATACCTGTTCTATTTGTAGATGGTTGAATATTTTCAATATCACAATCATTTTCATCATCTGATAATATACTATCTGGTAATGATGATAGGAAATCTATAAGTGATATTCAAATCTTATTTTAAAAATATATATATTTATCTACCTCCTGTTTTAGTGACTGAAAATTCTGTTAAATCAACTATATCACAATCACGAAATTCATAATTATACTAAAATTTATAATGAATAGTAACTTGTAAGATATATATTGAAAGATACTACCTTTTCCGCTATGTTGTTTAACTTTATCATAAATGAAGGATCCATAATAATGATTGTACGAGTCTCAATGTAGTAAACTTAGATGAGTGCGCAATATGAAAAAAGAAGGATAAAAACTAATCAAATTAGTTACGTGTTTGTTAACAGTAATGCTGATCGACTATAAGTGAGGTTAATGTCATAATCTTTGACTTTTAGACAAGTGGCCCTGGGTTTAAAACCTTTCTCACTAGGGTTAGACAGCATCTCTAACAACTACGAAAAAAAAGATTTGGTCCCCATGTAATTGCTAGGTTACGTTACACATTTATGCCTGTCATATGTAATTAGATATCAAGTCACTTGGAAATTATATGGAGTTTATGAATAAGTAAAAGGATTTCTTGCTCGAGATAAAGATTACAACTAAGTGACTTGAAAGCTGTGTATGTAAATTGTTGCTTAGAAAAGTAGTTTCAACCCAACCGCCATTAAAAGAGGAGTGTGATATGCACATATGCTGATGCCCTAAATTTAATCAGTACATCAAAGTCATGCAGTTACGAAATAAATTATTCCGATAACAATCGAATATTAAGGCTAATTAATAATAACTACAGACGATCTGAACGATAATAAATACGTCCTGAGGGAGGATACTAGTGAAGTTATGAATCTATTAGCTTGCACATGTTGATATCCCTAATGTAAAACCGATTTTATGTCAGTCATCAACGTCTGAAGTTCTTATACCAACTGCACCATTCTTTATCTAGAAACAAGACGAAGTGAACAAAAGTACTCTGACACAACTCAAACTGCATAACGTAGATTGATACTTCCAATAACATACTTTCAGTTTGGAAAAGAACAGGAGGCTAGATGGCCTATGTTATTCCTGGTTGGTTCAACTTTCTTTTGAAGCAGTCGACAGATGGAGCTTCAACCACGTGTTAAGGTAATAAACTCCACTCGTTGGCGACTCGATGAGGAAGTCGATAGTCAGCTGACAAGTAATTTGTTTCGGGTTCGTGAACCTTTTTGGAGTGTCCTCGTAAATTCTTTGTCAGCGTGATCAGTCTTTAATTTCTCGGCTACTTTGGGGATGGGTTGGATTTTCTTTAATAGCGTTATGCCGTTTCTTGTTCTCGACCTGTACTTACTCATCAACTTTCGTTGGAGTAGCGACCACAGTCGAGTCAAACACACTGTGGGGTTGCGGAAGGTCACAGGTGAGTTTAGCAGTTAGGTTGGTTTCCCTGACGGAAACAGATCTAGCCTTGCGATTGGGCTTTTTAGACTTTTCATGCCGGATAACATTTAGAGGATGTGGGGTGGACGAAACTTCCTCTCTTGAGCTTTTATTTAGAACAGATCTCTTTGAAGTCGGTTTTTTTTCGATCCATATAAGTCAGCTGTTACCGAGCTTATTTGAGGTAACTTCACATAAATTCGTGTATCGACAGAGCGAGTGTTTTTCGATGTGTTTCAACCTTGTTGGCTTGTACACTTTATAGCAGCACTTACCATTGAAATGATCTCGGTTAGCAAGCTATTTGCGTCCGAGCAGCACTGCTGACAAAACTACATGCAACCATTCTTACTAAGCCGTATGAGAGCCGGTGTTGGATTCGTGCAAACTTTGTGGTACTGTCCTTTGCACTTGTCGCCCTACCTGCCACTTTCAATGGGGTATCGATAGTTTAAGCGTTTGTAATTGCTTTTCTTGCACTGTTCAGACAACAAACAGGCTTTTGAAACGAAACTAGATACAATAGTACCCATAGACAAAAGAAACTAATGACCAAAAAAGCGGAGAACTGAAAATTGCAATGTACAGAAATGTCATATGGCCACAGTCGACGACAAAATATACATATAAGTGATTCGAAAAACATTCAATCGGGAAGTACATTTCTCAGTATATTCTCCTATGGGAAAAAAAGATATTTACCAAACATTATTCACAAAGGTCGAAATACTGTTTAAAATCACACTATCACCTTACATGAACACCCTGCATCCAAAAAATATTTTTAAACCGATAACTGAAATACCCGAGCATATATATATACATATACATGTACATATATGTTCGCAAAAAATACAAGAAATTGAGTTATATCGAGAATAAAGCCACCCAGCATTTCAATGACAAACAATAAAATTGAGTCAAAGAATTTGAATGCTAGGCTTCTTAGGAGTTAATTAAAGAAATAATCGGGAATAATCTCTTGCGAGAACCTCATATAATAATCTTAACGACACCCTTGTTAGCAAGGTCAAAGTTGACTAGTGCGCTAAAACAGAGAGTAAAGCACACTGAATGCGGTTAAACGGTATCCTAGCTACACAAGTGTATATACCTACTCATGCACCCAGCTATTGGGTTTCTTTGGAACACTAGAAACTGTGATCAATCAGCAATTTTAATGAATTTCTTTAGTACCGCTCATGAGATATCAACTGTCTGCAGAAGGATTTAAAGTCTCCTTTCTGTATCAGGAATGTGAAAGTGATCTTCCAAAAATGTAACTGAATAAGTAGTTCTCTTAATGCGTATACGGGTTTAGTTGGATTTTCCAATAGCCTCTCCCGGAATTCAGTACTCTACTGACATCCTTTGCTAACTGAGTGATTATGATGAGATAGTTCTTACTTTCCTAAAGACGTGGTTCATGTTTTACCATAAAATACTATTCAGTACTAAAAGTAAAGATGACTTCAGAGTACCTACAGTGGTCTGCAAATGAACCTTAAATAGGAGTTGATTATTTCTCTTCAGGAATCAGCTGAAGGTCCTATCACTATCTATACAAATAAGGATCTCATAGTTTGCAGGTCTTCACCGCAAAAAATCACGTAATTTCGCGGTTGAGTTTCAGTTATCTTCCCATGATTAGTTCCTAACCGGTCGCAAATAAGTAGTCAAGGGTTGAAGACTTACACGACTATTTATTTTGGGGATTTATTTACCGCTACAACCGCAAGTATAGCAATGTAATTTAGCTATGCTCGAAATTCACTGAAGTAAGAGAGATAGTATTTGACTGCTACCCAAGCATAATAGCTGCCTACGAAACTGGTGTATAAGTGGTTTATTTCGTTTTGAATTGTAACCTAAGAATCCTTATTTTTTTCGAAATGACATGTCACATACTATAGAGGTTGTGATCGTACATCACCTACCACACCTCGTTAAAGTGCATGACATCTCATTTCGCAGGATACATCATGGTGCACTATAAAATGTTATTGTAGTTTATACTTATAAGGAGTATTATAGACCTCAGATAATTTTGAACCATTTAGTTCTACAAGTCATCGTGCGAAATGTCTAAATGAATTTACTCGGGCTACACTACTGACTTATTTCGACGACTCCGGTCTCTTATGCCTAGGTAATAACTCCAAACATTTCAACAACTTCACGAAATTGATGAAAGAATCCGGCTTGTTTTTGAAAGTGCATCTCAGTATTTTCGTCGAAATGTTAGTGAAAAAGCGTCTAAACTGAACCAGACCTTTCCCAGCCATCCAGTGCAGTTTTTGAAGGTAATTGTCCTAAATTCAATCGACCTTAGTGATAATTCTCTCCGATCATTTACTATGTCTGTAATCAGTGACCGTTGACTATAATAGCACCGTAAATATATTGTAGTGACTCACGTTTATCACGAGAACACGACTGGTTTAATAAAAACAATTATTATTATAACCAACTGTACCAGTGTTTGTTTTAATGTGCTTTTGTTTGACTGTGCTAATGACAGCTATTTTGTGCTTCCATTCTTTACTTACACTTCGATTGTAACTTCGCGCGAATTCGGTTACCTTCTGTAACCAAGGTTGTATCCTGGCACGATCTCGGTATCCTTTCGATGCCACGAGATCGCCAGCAATAAACCTCGACTTGGTCCATTAATTGCCTTCTGGTATTCGGCTTCTCGGGGATTTTATGGAGTCATTTGGAACGAGCTTCTTACGCCTTCTGATCTATTTGGCACGTGTTTCTTGGTAGCGGTGTTCATAGTTAATCACAACTCGACCCCACGCTACATTGGTGATCCCAAAGTTTGGAACACGCCTCAACTTCTGATCAAATCTTCCAAAGAAGCCAATTCGGTGAGTCTATGATTTATCTATCCACGTCTGTCGTATATTTTCATATTTTTTAATATATAATATACTCGACATGACGGATAACGATAAGAATAGTATTAATATAATAGACTCACATGTATGTGTACCGAATCCTTGTTACTTTTTATTCGCGTGACGATGAATTCCACGCTTTATTCGAGAAAGTTTCCCCTATTAACTGTTCTCCTCGCTGACCCGGCTGCTTGGTACGGAATGCATACGCATAAGCATATCTGTCTACCACCCAGCACCAAATGGTTAAGTAAACGGTTTCACTGCCAACTTAAAAGTGCTATACGAGCACACGAAAACGGCAACTGGCACGAAACCTTACCGCTCGTTCTTTTAGGGATCAGAACGAGCTTAAAGGCAGATATCCAATGTTCCGCCGCTGAACTTGTATACGGCACGACATTGCGTCTGCCCGGAGAATTCTTCACACCACGGAGCAGACCTAATTTCGGTAAATCAGACTACGTCCATCGACTGTCTGCATTTATGCGAACGCTGTCTCCGGTGTCAACTCGAATACAACATCGACAGGTCGCTCTCCCTCGAGAGTTATCTACCTGTTCACATGTTTTCATACGAGTAGATTCGGTACGCAAACCTTGGCAACAACCTTACGAAGGCCCTTTTCACGTGATCGCTCGTCACGAAAAGACCTTCAAGGTTGATCGATATGGACGCGTCGAGATCGTCAGCATTGATCGTCTCAAACCAGCACACGTCGATGACAGTGCCCTATCTGATAACCTGAGATTCAATGCTAGACCTAGCAAACCTACTAGCGGGATCCTCAAACCATCTTCAGGTCCCACGCTAGATACATCTGAGACCTCATTCTCACGTCCCAGTCAACAGCACGCGTCATCTGCACCGTCTACGGACGAGACGACAGTCTCACGTCCAGATCAGCAGAC